AGTCCCACCTTCGCCTTTTTTTTTTTTTTTTTTTAATTTGACCATTTCTCGATTTATGTGTGTCATCCTTGCGCAGGGACGATGCTAATCTCCTCTGCATCGTTCCAATTTTAATGGATGTCCCGAAGGACATCTGGGAAAATTTTTCACTCTTGGTCTACTGTTCCCAGATGGGGCCTGACTGTCAACTTCCCTCACTGGACATTGGATACGAGGTAAATCATGAGTTTGAAGAAGAAGACTCGGAATGAAATACTACTTTCGTTTTTTTTTTTTTTGCAGTTAGTAACTATGGTATCTACTATCTACTCTATGACTTGGTGGCAAGTTTTTTTTTTTGCAGTTAGTAACTATGGTATCTACTATCTACTCTATGACTTGGTGGCAAGTTGTCTGAAAATTAGGGCCTCCGTTAACCGCCTCTCCAATTTTCCACAGCCCATTGAGCGGGACTTTCCTCAGGCCTGGCTTGACTTTTCGAGGCCCCGAGGGTGCCTTTAGAGCTCAGAAACTGGACCTCCCGGACTGAAGAGGGACATCGCATAGGCGAAGAACCCAGACCCTCCCAGCAGAAGAGGAAGATCATCGACAACTTCAGGCCCAAGAGAGTGACTTCTGTCTCCAGAACTCGGACCCTGACCGTCTTCATCGGAAGTTCATCCCAACAGCACGCCTGGTCATTATCGCTATATCTAGAGTCTAGACTTGAAGTTGGCTGAAATACAGCGTTAGTGACCGGGCATTGTATTCGCGTGAAGACGGTAGAGACACAGCCCTTGACTCAACTCCAAGGCAAATTTGAAATTTGACTCGCGTTTCCTTGCAGAGGAAAAGAAGAAATCAAAAGTGGGGCAGAAAGGCTTGTGGTCTCTCTTATTCTGCAATGTCAGTCAGATCGGGTTTCATTTCCTTTGGCTGTGTCTCAACAAACAAAAGCTGCCGCTCGGCGCTCGGCTTATTTTTTCATTTTCTTTCCAATCGAGTTGCTAGGAAGCAGGGAGGGATGAGAGGCAAGAAAGAAGGGGAAAGCAAGAACAGAAATAAAAAAGTCTCGTTTCGAACTCTTACTCAGCAATGGCGGTAAGGTTGGGTTTCATTTCCTTCAGCTGTGTCTCAACACGCGACAGCTGAAGCTGTGCTTCTTCCGTCGTCGGAAAATCTGCACTTGTGGAATGGAGCTCTTTCCGAAGCGCTTCAATGAAATTGGCATCGCCTTCGGCCCTGTAATTTTTTAACATCCAAGTAAAACAGACCCCAAGAAGTAGCAAGTTTTGTCATAATTTGTTTATGAACTTGTTAATAAAATAATCGCATTTGTCTAATTTTATCATCCGCTAACATACTCACAAGCAAAGTTTGTAATAACCCAAACAATCCTACCACATTCGGACCTTTTCTACGCTGCATAGAAGCCAATAAGCTCTTCGTAAATCAATAATAGTGATTTCATTTCGTAATCCGTATAGATGTGGCTGAAAGTGTGAAGTAAGTGTACGATTACCAAAATGTGCCTTTGTACTTGGTAATCTTTGAGTTACCTCTTCTGAAGTGAACATAGTTTGATTTTGTTTTTGTTTAGATAGCTCAGTTGGTTAGAGCAGCACGCCGTGTGTGCGTTTACAATTTTACAATTTTGCATATATGCGACGAACTGCCACTCTGCACATGCATGGTGCTCCAGAGAAACACACGCACACACACACAAAAAGAAAAAGAAGAGGTGCTGTAAAACATGGCTTCGAGAAACTTTTGGCTAAGGCATTTCGTCAAACTTGGTAAAAAAAAAAAAAAAAAAAAAAAACCCTGTATTCTAAGTATTCTTGGCATTTCCAACAACCTTCTTTTCTTTTCTTTTCTTTTCCAATGTCCTCTGCAGAGTCCAGACCTAGGTTTTTTGCACGGAGCCGCATGCACACACAGCGCACATGTGTGGCTGCAAGCATGTCCATCACCTTCTTACCTTAACATTATTGTCTGTACTTCTCTCCTCTTGATGCCTGAATTTCATTTTACTTACTTTAAGTATTTTACTGTATTTATTTTACTTAAATTATTCTGATAAATTTCAAAAAAAGACATAGCCTTGTGCATATGGCTCCTCCTATTCTGGGGAGCTCCGCCTGGTTCTCCTTTCCGCTAGTAGGTCATAATACAGCATGAAACACTCAACCCTCTGGGTTGCTTGACTATGATCCTATCTTTGCAATTTATTGTGTACTTCTCGTCGTTGCACGCCATTCTTTGTGACAAGCCACTAGTTCTGTCATCAACAAGATTTGAAGTTTCAAACAGTGGACCTGTTTATAATAGACAGAAGTAAACATGTGCATTGTGCACCATTCATCCAGCAGGCAGATACCTCTACGATGCACCTTGAACAGTTGATTACCTCCTTCCAGTCCTCTTCCTTCTTCTTGATCCCCTCTCTCTTTCTTCTAACACCCAAATCCACTCTGGCACTACCTCCAAATACTGCTGTGTCATAAGCAAGACAGATGGTTGGAAGGTCCCACTTTCTTCTATATACACATTTATAAAATCATGGCTACGATCCGGACGTCCGGACCGCCGTCCAGACGATCTGGATTCAGTCTGGACTCCAGACGTCCGGTCTGGAAGGTCCAGATCTGCCAAATTTCGAGGAAAAAAAAAAACAAGCCCCCAAAATTGAGGAGCCAAGCCCCCAAAATTGTTTTGGGGGTTTTTCAGGCCCACTTATGCTTTTTTGGGGGGTCCGGACATGCTCTCTCTCTATAACAATTTATTAGACAACCCCAATTTTTTAATTATTAATAATTTATTACCTTTTATTAGTTTTTAAAGTCTTTTTTTAAGCTTTTTTTATAGTTTTTGACTTTTAACTCAAGTTTGGTTAGGGATTCTGACATGACCCTGAGGCAAAAGTGGTTTGCGTTGTTATTCTGCATAACATTTTTTTTTTTCAGATTTTTTTTTTTTTTTTTAATGGTCCAGACATTTCCGGACCTGTCCAGACATCCAGACCGTCCGGATCCCCCCATGTCCGGGGGTCCGGAAATGTCCGGAATTCCGGACGTCCAGAAACTACCGGACACAGGTCCAGTTCCATGTCCGGAAATGTCCGGGTCCGGGTCCGGGTCCGGGTCCGGGTCCGGCGTAGCCATGGTAAAACACATTAGGTAAGTTGCTGTTCTTCGTAGGTTTGGCGAAATCTTTCTTGCCTTTGCTGCTTTTTGTCGATTGGTTTGCTTGTGATGATTGTTGCAACGAGGTGTGGTTTTGGCGTTTAGTATGGGATGGAACGGAGGAGAGAGTGCCGCTCCGTAGAGACCCCATTATGGTGGGCGGTGGTGTTTCCTTGGGAGCAGGCATAGATTAGTGGAAGTGGTTCTCCCTAAAATCGCGAGGAGGTGGGTGGGTTTGCGGGGTCTTCGACCCCTGCCGTGCGGGAGGTAGGGTGTTACTGCTGGGATGATGAATCGGGGTTAGGTATTTGTTTCATCTTGACAAGCTTTATGTTCTGTGGTCATCTGTAATCCGTGAGATGGCACGATGAGCATCGCTCCGCATGGGCCTCGTCATGGTGGGCGGGGAGGCATCCGTTAGGGAGTAGGTGCAGGTTGTGGGAGAGGCTTACCCTAAATCGTGAGGAGGTGGGTGGGTATGCGGGGCCTTCGGCCCCTGCCACGTGGGTGGTAGGGTAGTCCCCTGGCTAGCAAAAACAGCATCGTGGTGGGAGTTGGTGTTTTTGTAACAGAGAGTGGTGGGGAGGTGCTATCTGCTCTGAATCGCAAGGAGATGGGTGGGTATTGCGGTCTCTTCGCCTGCAGTTGGGGACCTGTCGGCACAGACCCCCGCTGCGCGGGTGGCACGGCGGGTTGGCAGGGTTTGGAGGTAACTTTGGATGAGCAGGGGACATTACCGTGTAGTGCAGGTCTGAACTTTTTCTTTGTAGCTGCTTTTTGACATGGGATTTCTGGCTTGTGGCGGTCCATTTTTTGGCCTTGGCCCAGTGATGCATCACCCTTAAACCGGACCGCAGAATCTTTGTCAGGGACGCCAGACGCGATTCCTGGCATTGCAATTTTAGGGACACCTGGCCCGGTTCCCGGCTTTTTTCTCAGAAAACAAAACAAAACAAAACAAAAAAACAAAGAAACTCACTGGGTAAGGAATGTGCCTTTCGCGTTGTCATTCTCTTCCAGCTTTCTGTTGCAATAGTGGATCTTTTCCTCCCAGCTTTTCAAGATGTTTTGCATATCATCCAGCTTTAGCTGCAAATCAACCTGATTAAGAGTCGCAAGATAGCAATATCAACAGTAAAGGGATAAAAAAAAAAGAAAAAAAGTTAGAGAAATGCAACAGGCCAAGCCACCGTATCTCTGGCACAGATTAGAATAGAAGACAGAAAAATAAGGGGCGGAGAACCAGGAGATGGAATATGGTTGTTCATTGAACTTCATTCCTTCATGACTCGTACCAACAGAGAGACAGGAAAAAAATCCACACAGAACACATAGCACTACAGCATACTTGCAACCGCACGAACCGCACATTCGTGCGGAGTTCTATGCAGAGTTCCGTCCGGCGGGTCCCTGTGCGGAATCGTGCAGGTTTTTTATTTTTGCAAGGAAGATGAGCATTAGCGAACTTTGGCAATCAAACAGCATCATACATATGAGCCCAGATAGTCTTGACCTCGAACCACAGCAGACTGGCATCACGAGATACACCAAATAAGAACACACCAAGAGTTCAAAATTGACAATGCTGAAGTAGTCCCATCATCATCAACTACGAACCAGAGTTGATATCCTATTGGCGCTCGGCGCCCAGACTACAGGTGGCAGATCCTATCTAGCCTATACTACAAAGCAGAATGATGACATCAACAGCGTTCCCGAAGTACGAGCATATGGCGACCAATGTCGCACGCTTCAGCACCAGGTATGTCTCTCGTAACACTCACAACCCCGATCCACACCGCACAGATGCCACTAGCACCCCAAGGACCACCCTGCGCTTCACCTAGCATACAGCAGCGCAGCTTGGCTATGGCTGCGTGCTCCCTCCTACTCGCCCGTGAGAGCGCGAGTTGCCAGCCAGCCAGCGGATTGCGCAGCAGCGCTCACGCAGCATGCAGCCAGCACCCGAATGCCGAATGAGGAGGCAGGCCCTTCCCTATATCGAAGTGGCCTGCCTGCGTCCAGTCCAGGAAACTTCCGGTAGGCCCCGGTAGGCACAGGCCCAGTCACGTAGGGAGCAGTCCTGGGGCCTGAAGTTGTTGCATGCGCCCAACTGCTTCCGGCCTGTGTTTGGCCTGGTACCCGTATCCAGCCCAGGGCCTGCTTCACATTCRTTTACACAGGCGGCCCAGGGCCTGGATTCATTCAACCAACTGGCGCAATGCAACTGTCTGAATTTCCCCGTTGCGGGGTACCCTGAAGAATGAGGCCCGAAGGGCCTGTCGTGCCTGCCTTCACTTAGGGCGGCCGACCTTGTTGCAGATAGGGCCCCGTAGGGGCTAAGTGGGCGTAGCCTCGCATTCCCTCCTCCATATCTTCGTTAGTCCTCTTCGAAGATCAATCTGTAGCCATCTGGCGCTTTCCTTTCAGTGCATCCTTCTCATAGCGGGCAACGATTTGAGGAGCGGTCTGCATCAGTTCCTCCCGAGTAAACCAGCGGTCCTCCTTCGGATCTGTATGATGTCTGAAGTGGACTCGGAACTGCAGCTTTGGTTTTGGAGGACGTCCCCTCCCTGGAGGCTTTTGAACTGGCATCTCCCTGTGGTCAACGATTTCATCGATGTCGACTTCTCCGTCCATGGTTGGGGGCAGCATGAATCGACGAGAGGGAAACTGATCAGTTTCCTCGAATGCAGCGAGCTTAGAAGCGTGAAAGACTGGGTAAGTTCTGAGATGACCAGGGATACGGATGACATATGATGGACCATCAGGATCTGTCCCTACTACGTCTAAAACTTCCCAAGGTCCAAAGTACTGAGGCATGAGTTTGCGGGATATCCCGAACTCCTGTCCCAGTTCTGAAGATTTGACCCAGACTCTGTCCCCTACCTGAMATGTAGAAGGGCGGCGGTGTCTATTCTCAGACTCTATCATTGCTGCCTGTGCCTTCTGCATGTGTTCTACAGCCTCCTGCATCTTCTGTTCATATCTATAGGCGAACTCCAGAGTGCCCGGTGCAGCAGTTGGCTGGTTGTCTGGAAGTAGGAAATCTAAGGGCAGTCTAGGTTTGAATGTCAGTTGTAGACTGTTAGGACCGTCCCGGTAGCACTGTGCACAGCGTTGTTATATAGACTAGCGACTAGAGCAAGCTTTTCGTCCCAGTCTACCTGATTGGGCTTGATGTAGTGCCTCAACAGGTGTTGCACAGCGCGGTTCATTTGTTCAGCCTGGCCATTAGCTTCTGGATGATTTCCAGAAGTCATCTGCAGTTGAGTTCCTTGTTCAGCTGCAGCGGCCTTCCATAATTCACTCGTGAACCTGACGTCCCTGTCACTGACTATAGACTTCGGCAGTCCAAAGTCTCTAACCCAGTTGTCTTTAAATAGCCTGATCACGTATTCGGTCTTTGCTGTTTCTGGCATAGCTATTAATCTAGCAAAACTTACTAAACCTATCCACGATGACAAAGATCTGTCTCATCCCACTCTTGCTGGTGACCAGCGTATCCATGAAGTCCATGGATAAACTTTCGCCTGGCCTTTCCGGAATCGGAAGGGGCTTGAGCATCCCAAGAGGCGCCTGAGTACGGGGCTTGTTTCTCTGGCATACTTGACAAGTTTCCATGTACAGCTGTGCATCTTTCATCATCGTTGGCCACCAGAACCGCTGCAGCAAGTTGGCTGCGGTTCTTGTACCCAAAATGGCCGGTGGCATCATGACACTCGCCTAAAAACAAACTACGCAAAGACTCGCTACTTGGAACGCACAAGCGTTTATTCCCTGCCTTCTCTAGGAACAGCAATCCATTGATCAACTCAAACTCTGCGGAGGTCTTTTTATCCTTCGCCTCAAGTCTGCGTATGATCTCAGACATAAACTGGTCCTGACGATAGGCTTCCACCACAGACTGAGTAACATCATCCGTCAGATCGAACTCACTGAGAAGTCCGGTCTGCGCGACAAGGCATCAGCAACCTTGCTGTACTGTCCTTTAAGATACTGAGGGTCAAAGTCATATTGCTCAATGACTTCGATCCAACGCTTGAGAGCGTCAGAGAGTACTGGCTGTGTTCTCATCCATCTCAGGGTCTGATGATCAGTCCGGAGGATGAAGAACCGCCCAAGGAGGTAGTGTCTCCAATGGGTGAGAGCCTTGTACACCGCATAGAGCTCCTTCTCATAAGTGGACTTAGCCAACTTCTGAGACGGCATTTTCTTGGACATGTACTCTACTGGCCTCAACTTTGGCCCCTCCTGCTGCGCAAGCACGGCGCCAATGCCATATTGGCTAGCATCCGTGGTTACTATAAATGGCTTATCAGGTTCGGGTAGCTTCAAGACTTCATAGTGCGTCAATGCATGCTTCAGATGTCTGAAAGCAGCCTCGCACTCATTTGTCCACTCCCAAGGGGTGTCAAGGCGGGTCAGATCAGTCAAAGGAGCGGCCACTATGCTGTAATTCTTAACGAAAGTCCTATAGTAGCCTGTCATTCCTAAGAAAGATCTCATTTCAGTCACAGACTGAGGACGTGGCCAATCACGAATGTTGGCCACCTTCACGTCATCGGGCTTCAACCCTTCCGTAGTGGGTGCCTGTCCATGCCCTATCTTTGCTTCTAGGTCTAGGGCCACCTTGCTGAACGAAGGAAAGTTGTGCATATTAATGTTGGCCTCTTTTGCCAACTGGTTCCTGAGCGGCAGAGATAAGGTCCTTAGGTACGAAGTTAGCAGGACCTTGGGGTCATAGCGTACCCCTGAAACACAAATCAAACGCTCTACAGCGTCGGTGGCATCCCTTAAGTCACGTCGGTGGCATCCCTTACTGACTTAAACTGCCGCGTGTGCAGTGTCAGAATCGCATCAGTGGCCTTTTGAGCCTCCTGCGGATCATGCCACCTGTCTTCCACCATTTTCAAGAAGTCCTCCAATTTTTGAGAGGCTGCCCAAGAGCGGAAGTCATGACCGTACCCCTGGAGTTGCACTAACCCACTCAACCATCTCGCTGCACTACCCTCCAGGTAGGAAGCAGCCACAAGCACTTCTTCGTGTGGCAAGGTGAGTTTACACCTGACGTATACTGGCACCGCCCTCAACCAAGTGTCGAGGTCTTCGCCTCTCTTGTCTCCTATAAAAGGTTTGGGAGCGGCGATGGCCGTCTTTGGAACCCACTGACTTTGTCTCGGTCCCTGCACCAACCCGGGTTGTGGACCCGGCGATACAGGTTGTTGTGCTAGCTGCTGGGGCTGTGTGCCCTGAGGTTGCACTAACTGCGAGACAGCAGACTGCGTGGTGACTGCAACCTGTGACGGACTTGGAGTAAACACTGTCTGAACAGGAACCTGCAAACTACTCCCTGCTGTTACCCCTCCTGACAGAGGCATGCCCAGGGAAACGATAGCAACCGATGAAGGGGCTACATATGGGGATACCCCAGTCACCGGTGGAACAGGAGGAGGATATGGCACTGACCAGGCACCAGGCCCTGTTGGTGATGGTGCTGCCTGAGCACGCCCTGCCAACACGGCTAGGCTTTGTTGAATGTCCTGAAGGAGGGTAGTTTGATGCTCCTGCATCTCAATTACGCCTAGCAGGGCCCTCCTAACTACCTTCACATCCTCATCCATATGCGTCAGGTCCATCGTCTCTAACTCCTCTATGTCTGCCCCTCTCTGTTGCATCCTGGCTCTTCTTCTAATCATCATCTCTTTCTCCCTTTTTATCTTTCCTAATGCC